GATCTTGATGATTTAGTGAAAACAAAAACATAAAGGATCTCATCATTAACTCTGTATTGATTACAGTGAAATGATGATAGCTTGCCTACACTGGGATAAACAAGATATAGCAAAGTTAATTTCATCTGATACTTTTTACTTAAAAAAAAAGTGTGGCTAGGGGGCGCCTGGGCAGCTCAGTGGGTTAAGGGTAAGACTCTTGATTTCGGCTCAGGTCATGATCTCAGGGTCTTGGGATTGAGCCCTGCATTGGGCCCCACACTTAGTAGGGAGTCTGCTTGGGATTCTCTCTCTCCCTTTCCCTCTGCCCCTCCCCACTGTGTGCTCTCTCTCTCTCTCTCTCTCTAAATAATAAATAAATCCTTAAAAAAAAAGAAACAAAGATGCCTCATGTGATGCTAGTACCAGAGCCCTGGGCCTCAGTCCTGTCTGCATGCAGCTTGCGGTGCGGCCAGGGCCAATCTCCTCCTGTATTTACGTCTCAGTTTCCTTACCTGTAGAATGAGGGCGTTAGACCAGTGGGTCTCAACTGGGGACATCTGGCAAAGGCTGGAGACATTTTTGGTTGTTACAGTGGGCAGGTGATGCTCCAGATATCTAGTGCGTGGAGGTCAGGGATGCTGCAAAACATCTTACTATGCACAGGGTGGCCCCCATAACAAAGAATTACCTGGGCCCAAATGCCGATAGCGCCAAGGCTGAGGAACCCTGTGTGAGACTGAGGTGACTCCATAGGGCCATTCTGAGGAACTGCCAGACTGTTTTTCAAAGTGGCTGTGCCATTTCATGATCTCCGCATTTCTCCACATCCCTGCCCCTCGCATACTTTTGCCAGCCTTCAGGAGTGTGAATGGCTTTTTACAAAGTCTGTTCTAAGGACAATGCCCTGGATTGTTTACAGAATACCAGGGTCATAAAGAAAAACATTAGCCATTGTCTTACCTGGTGCCTATAATTGTACCAGCCGTTGGAACCTGCGACAATCACCACCCAGTGCCTGCCCCCATCCTCGGGATCACCCACAGGAACAGCACCGACCCCCGGGACCACGCTGAGCAACACGGCTACTTGCCAAATCATTCCAAGCCTCAGAGTCCAGCGGCAGAAATCTGGGAAGAAAAAAGCAGAGTTGAGCAAAAAAGGAATGACAGAAACAGAATACTGGCCCCTAAGATTATATCACAGCCCACGGGTCAAAAAGATAAGGCCATTTAGTTATCAGATGGAACAGCCTAAGGATAAAAATGATGACAGAGCACAAATTTATCTTTGGCTCTGCAGCCCCTTTCCCTAGGGGGGAGAAGAATCTACCCAGCTCTCTCTCACTACAGGTTGAAGTTAAGGGTATAAAGCAAAGAATACTGGCAACACTCTTTGGGCAACCTTAAAAGGTGTTTGTTTGTTTGTTTTTAAAGATTTTATTTATTTATTCATGAGAGAGAGAGAGAGAGAGAGGCAGAGGCAGAGGGAGAAGCAGGCTCCCCGCAGAGCAGGGAGCCCGATGCGGGACTCGATCCCAGGATCCTGGGATCGTGACCTGAGCTGAAGGCAGACGCTTAACCGACTGAGCCACCCAGGCGTCCCATCCTTAAAAGGTTTTAACAAGTTTTTGTCACAACTTGGAATACAGCAGATAAAACTCACCAACAAAATTCACCGTATTGGAAAAACGTCTACCACACTGTATGAAATGTTTGCAAGAAAAGAATATACATGTAATGTGTGCATACAAAATGTGGAAGGCAGACATAAAAATTTAACAGTAGTTATTGGTTGGTGGTAGGTGGAATTCAGGATGATTTTCTTCCTATTTCTTTTTACCACCATTAACAGATATTACTTACGCAATAAAGTGTATAAAAATTCTATGTGTGTCCAATATAAATACTGAGGGGCGATTCCATGGTTGTAAGCGAGTTATCTGGATAAGCTCTAGGCAAACAGTGGCAGCCCAAGTTAATGTCTTTGTACGTTTGTAACCCATTTACACGTAGTTAACACGGCAGGCAGAGCACAAGTTTTATTCCTTGTTTTACAGGAACGGGAGGTTAAAGCAAGAGAAGCTAACTTGTCCGATATCCACAGTTAGCCAGCTCTGGTCAGAGACCCATGTCTTCTGAATTCTCAGCTCGGTCTTTCTGCTGCATGGTCCTACACTGAGACTTCATTCCTAATGAAGCACATGCCCAACTGTATACTCCGCTGCCCAAACGTCCCAAGTTTTAAAGCACAAAGGCAGTCCTCAGGCCGCGTCCTGGCCTCCTTGCATCGCTCACATCAGACTCTGCCCCGCATCCTAAATATGTTATTCTAAAAAAAACAGCCTTCCTGTGACAGATGCTAGGCCTGTCACATTAAGAGGAAAAACAGTCTCTGAGATGTAGGGACTCAGCAGAACAAAGTCCATGAGGCTGACCTCAAGACTCTTCTGTCATTTGTCAAACAGTGCTCACTCACTCACTGGCTTATTCATTCACACAGCCAGCCAGAGGCTCCTGCCGGAAAACACGCTGGATGCTCTGAACGCAGTAGGGACAGGATAGGGACAGGACGAAGCCTCTGTCCTCAGCGGGCACGCAGCCAGCTAAGGGATGAACCTCCTGTAAGCTTAAGAAACCATCCTTAGCATCCTGTGCCTAACACTGCTCCAACTCAAAATGGACTGAGCAGTGGGTTTCCCCCCAAAGGTGAGGGAACAGGAAGCCCTGAATCTGATAAAAGTTTAAAAACCTAAAAGTGCCTTAGGCCAGTGCTTCTCCAAACCGACTGTGACCTCCATCCTCTGGGGATGCAATTCTGATCCAGTAGGCCTGGGCTGGGCCTGAGACTCTGCATTTCCAACAGGCTACAGGCGATGCCCAGCACTCAACTTTGATGTAGCAGGGCTCTCCATTAACCTTGGCGGGCTCTTGTTCACCTCTGGTCCAAAGCCCCACGAGCCAACACTACTCCTTACCCGCCTCCGATACCCCCTTTAGGAACACAACTCTTTTTTTTTTTTAATTTTTATTTTAAGTAGGCTCCACGCCCAATGTGGGGCTTGAACTCACGACCCTGAGATCAAGAGTCACATGCTCCACTGACTGAGCCAGACAGGTGCCCCACCCAGGAACTCATTTCTTACTGTATAATATATACCCACATTTCTTTGGCATCACTGCAAGACTGCCCATGGATGAACGGGTAACCACAATAAGGTACCCTAGGTTTGTTCTTAAGCTTATTCTGAAATGGCCATGCTTTTTGTTTGTTGTGTTTTGTTTTTTAGTACAGTACAGGACAGATGAGGTCAGGGAACAGACGAAGGCAGTGGACTGCCCAGGCCACCCCGGTGCCAGAACCAGTTGGCCTTAATTAACGTGTTAACGTGCACCTGAGGACGCTCTCCCAAGTCCTCCTGATGTGACCGGGGCTCACCGTAGGGCTGGGAGGTAACAGCAGGGGCGACAGTGACTACAGAGGTGACCCCACCAGCAGCTCTTTGATTCTGAGCTCACCCGGCGGCCTCCTGACGGCACTTGAACCTCCCTGGGAAGCCTTCCCCTGGGGCAGCAGTTGGCACACTTTTTCTCTAAAGGGCTGGACAGTAAATATTTTACCCTGCAGATCACACCATCTCCCTTACGACTGTTCGGCTCTGCCGCTGTACTGTGAAAGCAGCCAGAGACCACAGGTAAACCAGTGGGTGGGGCCAGGACAGGTGGTCTCTTTGGCCCACCCTAGGGCGTGAGAATATGCCTTCAGCCCACGTGACCAGTAAAGCCTGGCTGGTTCTTATCGTCCATCAGCAATCATTATACGGGCTCCCTGGTTTACATACCAGTCTCTGAGTTTGGTTCATGTGACTGAATCATGAAGAGGCTCATTACTGGGGAGGCCCTGCCATGTGACTTTCGCCCTTCCTACTTAGGGACAAAAAGAATACATAAAACACCAGAATCCACAAAGCTGGCCTGACCGTGAACCACGGAAAGGACACCACCAGCCTAACTGCCTAAATGGGCAAACACCACAGCAGGTACTGAAAAAGCACCGCCAGGTTATTTTTACAAATTCAAATTCATCTGTCATTCTTCTACTAATATGCTAGCATGCTACCCCTCAGTGAGGAAAAGTGCCTATTAAAACACAAATGATACTTTCACAGTTAACGTCTGGCAATGGTTCCTGTCTATCACCTTTTTTTTTTTCTTATAAACACAGAGTACGGTTCCTTGAACAGAATGGCAAGTAAAAAGCCTCACAGTATGACACTGATTGCAAAATGTCACTTAAAAAACACATATGTTAAGGGGTGCCTGGGGGGCTCAGTTAAGCATCCAACTCCTGATCTCAGTTCAGGTCTTGATCTCGTCAGTTCGAGCCCCGTGTTGGGCTCCACGCTGGGTGTGAAGCCCACTCAAAATAAATGAAATTTAAAAAACACATATGTTAATACCATTTGGGGAAACATATTGGGGCCTGGGGTAAAGCTGAGATGTGAAAGTAATACAATCTTTCCACTGCCCTCAGCAAGAACATGTCTCAAAGCAAGCAGCCTCACCAGCCATTTCCTGATCAGCAATATTCTTGGCAAAGTCAAAGCCTCAAAACAAAATCACAATCTTGCAACATAACATACCTGTGATTCTTGTTCTATCAAAGAGAAAAGTTCAGGAAGACAAAGTAAGTGATTCCTGCTGAGCTAGCTCTTCGGGATGGCTATTTCTGCAGTCTCCCCACCCATCCATCCAACATCCAACAAACACAGCCTGAGCACCCACTAGGTGCTCACAGGCACCCAACAGGGAACCAAATGACAGAACCCTTCACTGAGCTGACATTCCAGCGGGAAGAGACACACCATTTAAATCCACACATTGTCAGAGGGGATGAGTGTTAAGGAAAAATATAAGGCAGGAGGAGGAGTCCAGTAGGAGTGGGAGGCATCATTTTTCAAAATGGAAAGACTTGAAGGAGGCGAGGAAGCCCACCCATCTCTAACAGCAAAATGCTGGAAGCAATATACATGGTCATCGACAGAGGGCTGTCTAGCTAAATCAGTTATGGTACACCCTTATGATGGGACACTGTGGAGCCTTTAAGAAGAGCAAGGTGGATCTCGATGTGCCGAGAGTAGAAAGATCTCCAGGGGGACTGTAAAGGATGTATGCCGAGTCTGCTAACCATTTGTGGGGAGAAAATGACAGACAGGTGTGACCCTAACCAGGGGAGAAAAGGTGTCCCCCACAGCAACGCGTGTTGATATGCTGCACGGGTTTCTGCAATAAGCCATGCAATGTACGCTTCACACAATCCTCACAGAAGCCAGTGAGCCAGCCTCATCGCTCTGTTCACAGAGCTGAGAAAAGAGAGTCTGGGCAGAGAGAAATGTGCTGGTAACTGCTGGGGCTGACACACAGAAATGCTCCAGAGACTGCTTTTTCTACTACACCCCCTCGCTTGTCACAAAAAGAGTTGTTCATGTGAAGGTCTGCGAGACCACGTAACCAAAAGTGGGCACACAACACGCCCCACTCAGGGCCCAAACACTTCCTCCAGCAGGTCACCCCCCACCCCCCAACCAGGCTCTTTGCCACCCTACTATTATAAGGCACTTGTGTGCAATGTGTATAAAGAGCTCTCCTCTTAGAAGAGCCCTTCAAAGGAAAACCTGAACCACACAAGTCAAGATCAGCGGCCAACCCTTTACGAATGAATTTTGCCAGCCTCCAATGACAAGTCCTCTGCTGTTCCCATTGGTCCTGCATCCCTCTCAGGCTACAGGGCTACACAAGGTCAGTAATTCCATTAAAGGACTCCACTTGACTTAAAGAAGTATGCTAGCAAGTGAGGTTCAATTCATTTGAGAGGTTTGGGACAGAATGCCCATTCTAGATAAACTGTCACCAGCAATACAAGTAATGAGGCCCCAATCACAGGACTATCAAAGTCAAGTTCAAACCAAGGTCTGACACCAAAGCCTATATCTTAACTACCATCAGGTGTGAACTCTCACTGCCAGTCCTGATTTGCTACTGGTTCTGGGTTGGGAACAGGGATCCATCAAAGCCGAGCAAAGCAGCTAGCTAGACAATGACATCTGAAGAGAGCCTTCCAAACCTGAAGGTCT